TATTGGCAGAACTGTGGAAAATTTGACAGGGAAGAATGAGTGAAGTAGAAAAATGTTCCCTTTCCCTCTTTGACCTGTAAACCCTAGTGTTTTCTCTTTTGTCTAGCTTTCCTACCTAGGCAATGGTTCAAATACTATGCTCTGATTTCCATGGGGGGAGAGAGAAAAAAAAAAAAACAAAAACAGTTTCTATAGATTAACTCTGAACAGTACAGAACGGGCAGTAGATTTACTACTTCAAGGATGTTCCTCCTACAGCTGTACCGAAAGACATCATTACGGAGATGTCAACAGACTAAAGCACGATGATGTCCACTTATGTGACGAAACACTGAAGACAACCATTCACTGAATAGAGCAGAGAATAGAGTGCTGGCTACATGGGACTGCACCTCTACTTCAGCTATGGGATAACCTATAACTTACTCAGGGCAAAGGTGGCAGTGTTGTTGCCTGGTTTACCTTTCTGCTTTTCCATTAGGATCCAAAATGCTGAGCATCTCAAACCGCTGGAGATCAGATTTGGTAGAATGTTTTCTCATGATTCAAGTTTTGTCAAAAAACATCCATTAGTTGCCTCCTAATATTTCTCAGAAATGTTTTACATTTGACAAGCTCTTGCTGCAGCCACAACAAGAACCCTGTTTGAAGCCTTCCTAGTCTGTCCTATGATACCAGGTATTAAAGCTCCCTAGTGAATGTATAGATCTAAAGACTGATCAGGAGTCTTGGAGAGGTCTCTTACATTTTTAGTAATTGATACTGACATTGAAAACAAGGGATTTATTGACCTTGTAACATAATATTGCTCAGACCAAATGTCAGTAGTCTGACAACACTCACTTCGATCCCTGCTTTCCTCTAGTAATTCATGGCAGTCTGTTGTGTATTACATGGCTACTGAGCACTGTGCTGGCATTCTCCCTGAATGGTATGGAATAACATCTACATTTGTTATTTATTTATTTATTTTTGAGTAGTAAGAGTCAACCCCAGGTCAATCACTATGTATATAAACTGGGATTACTTTACCCCACACACATTCATTTAAATTTATTTGTACAGAAAGTCATCTGTCTTTATTGCACATTCATTCACTGTAGCAAGGTCCTGCCATTTCTTCATAAGTAGCCCTTCTCTATAACTATGCCAACTGACACAGTACTGCTGAAGTCATTGCTTCCCTCATCTCTCCCTGTCTTGATAATTACCAGGTCCCATGCTGTTTAAATAACTTCCCTACACTGAGAAAGATTACTACTGAATACTCTTTCCTCATCTTCCAAACATATCCTCTCACTTGGGAAGAAACATCACATGGGTCTCTCCAGATTTCAGGATACAACAAACAATTCCTAAATCCTAAAAAGTCTATAGATTTTTCTCTTATCCATACACTAACACAAACAGGATTCTTCCACTGCAGGACTTCCACCAAGCACACACTTTTAAACTGTTACCTCTCTCAAGGGACAGCTTCTAGTCATGCAGTGTCTGAAGCATTAAGAGTGATTTGCAAGATTTTCAGATCATTTATCCCTGAAGCAATAATTGCATTAGTTTCATGTCTTAAAATTGCGCTATTAAAGGGAAAAAAAATTAAAAACTGCATAAAATGAACAAATGGAGCTCAGAATCAGTGTTCCATATAATTTCTTGGTTGTTCCCAGAATCTTGTCTCATCAGAGGTTTTTTTCCCCATTTAACCATCAACTGACCACAAATTGAATTGTATTAGCATTAAATTCCAGTGTGGAAAGAAAAGTTATTATCCATACAGTTGGAATTTATCCCTGCCTGGATATTCTTACCTGCTTGTACTACATCATGCCGAGGAGTCCTAACCATAGATCAAAATTTCACTATGCTCTCTGCTGTAGAACCAGCCAGTGCAGCATGCTTCACTGATTGAAACTGGGCCAAGAGCAGCTCATCCCACATTCAGTGTGAGGCTCTTCCCAAACTTCAAAGTGCCTAGACATGAGCATTTGAACTCAGAGCAACACCAACACTGCGCATGCCAGACTGGTAGAACTGGAAAACAACAGCGTGCACAGGGGAGTGGAAACAGAGAGGTGAGCCCTCTAACAGTATAACCACTGCCTCTGTGGAAGTAAACATCATGGTCAAAACAGTTACTTATTTCCCTTGGACAACTCAGCAATGTTACAGTAACATTTGCAATTTACCTAGCATGAACTATAGGAAATGCTGCAGATACCAATGTCGTCATACACTTTACTGAGTGCAAAACTGGGACATCTCAAGTGGCTGCAGTAATTAGCACACAGGACACTCACTAGGTAGCTTTTCTAGACAAAAACTAAATGGAAATCTGACTGCCCCTTCTATAATCGGATTCTTGATAAACCAGGTTTCTGAATCTGGCTATGAACAGTTCTAATAATAGTAAACGAGAGAACTACTTAACTGCATGTTTTATGTGAATAAGCTGAACCTTAACTTTGCTGGATCACAGCAGCATTCACCCATAGATAAGAAGAAAGCTTTCATGCAATTTTGCTGCTCCAGTTTGTCTCTGAGGGAGAAATTCCTGGAACACAAGTACCAGCAGCATCAAAGGGAATTTGAAATAGTTTCACCAGACAAGAAACTACTACTGGAGTACACTGTGTTACTACAGCCATTTGCAAAATATGCACATTCGCCACATGGTGGACACAGATGCAGTGGGAAAATACCAAATAAAAGTTAAATGGGCTAACAATAATGTGACTGGGGCAGTAACAACAGAACACATAGTAAGACAGGGAATATGCTTTTTTTTTTTTTTTTTTTTTTTCCCAGTTAGCTTCCTCCTATGTGTGTACTAAAGCTGTGTTGTGACTACCTGAGCAGTTTGGATAGACAAAATCATTTTTTTTTCTCCCCATATTATGGTGCCACTAATTAAGTGTGCTTTCTATAAAATGATATGCAAACAACATTGCACTGCTGTAGGCTTCTGTTTGCGAGCAAGATGCAGGGATGGACAGTTTGCTTCTGTGCTGAAAAATCTCCTTCGTACCTAATGCCCAGAGAAACTCTTACCAACTATTTGCTTTGCAAAAATGAGATTATTTTGCCCTCAAGATAGCTGGAGGGCAAAATTAAAGCCCTCAGTTGTAATTGGGTTTTAAGTACTCAAAATCAACCCACATGCAGCTTTATCTACCTGAAGGCATTTTCTCTGCAGCTAACAACAGCTCACTGTACAGGTGTCTGGACTGTCAGGAGCAGCAGTTAAGGATCAGTACTTCTGACAGATGTTTCCAAAAGCTGCTGAATTCCTCAGTGGGCATGAGCTGCTCCAGCATTTCATGAGACTGCTGCAAGATGCTGCTGTTCACACCTGGGATCCCACTGCCAGCACCACTGTGGGTGAACTGCGAGTCACACACACTGGTACACTCTGAATAAAAATAAGTTCTACCATGGGCAAGGCTCAGGCCTAACAGAGAGGCACATAAAAATGGGAAAAAATACTTCATTTTCCAGTAAAAAGATAGCTATGTTTTCAGTTTTACCATTTTCATCTCAGGCAGTGAGGCAGGGGGAGTGTTGTTGGGTCAATGAGTTGGTGACAGCAGTTTACTGATTTCCAGAACAGGCCTTCCGCTGAAATAACTGTGTCCTGGCACTGACTTCAATGGGTGCTGGAGCATAAGAATGCTCTGAACTTGACCAGCCACCAAAACGGAGATGTCTATCCCTTTAAATCCCTTGCAGAGAAACTGGACACTGGGCATCAAGAAGGTGCACAAATCAGTCACCTTAATGTGGTATTAAACTTCTTAAATCACCGGTGATGTTACCAGGAAAAGTGAAGAACTGGTTGTTTGGTTTTTTTTAATGACATACGAGCACCACGGTATGAACATGCACCATGATGCAACCATTTAAACTAATATTCAACTACATAGCACAAAAGAAGCCTTTCCAGTACACCATCAAAGAAATGGATGTTTGCCTTTCAGTACTGAACAGTAGAATAGTAGAATGCTTGAGGAATTCACTTTACAAAATACTTCAGATGTGCTCAGCTGTCACCAACACATAAAGATTAATTCTTCCCTCACCTGCACTGTTATTTATCCCAGGCAGTGTAGCTAACTGAGCTATTAAAGCAGTCTCAAAGTAGTGAGAGAACTATTTTCAGAAATACCCTGCTCTGAACATACATGTGTAATGTTTTCTGAATAGCAGAAAGTCTTATTAAATGGCCCATTTGGTCCTGCCTGCCCTTAATACGTGCAAGTTTTTGAAAAGCATTATTTTATCTATTCATTACAGAAAGGTAATGAGCAAAAGTTTGTCTGACACTTCCAAATAGCTCTCACTGAAATCAATCTGCTGATACACCTACATAACACTTAAGAGTGGCTTACAAGAAATATATACTGTAATATGCAAAGAATATTGATGTTACTTGTGGGAAAAAAACTGCTTGCACATCCAGGAAGCATTACCATTATACATGTATTTCCACAGAGCTTGTTCATTCATAGTTATTCCTATCTTTTGAAACAAATCTTGCCTTGCTGGTTTGCCCATACCGAGCAAAATGGGTGTGCATAGACATGCATGCCATTATCACTGCTCTACTAGTTCATGCAAGCTCTCCTTTAGAGCAACATACTTCCAGTCTGTATCAGACCTTGAAGAACTGACTCTGAAAATAGCATGGATATTCACAACCAGTTTTACTAAACATTTCTGTTGCCTGTGAAAGTACTATAGAAAAACAAACAAATGAGCAGAGAAAAATAAAAATAAAAAAGTCTGCAATCTCATTTTCCTTTAGAAAGAAGGGAATCATGAATTAGATTAAAAAGAAATTATATACGAGATTTCTAGGAATAAACTATTATGATTAAAATTTCCTTGGGCCCCAAATGTCCTCTGTTTTTCTGATGAGCAGGGTGATCCACATATAGTTAAAAACATTGTTACTGAGGAAGTTTAGACAAAGTACAAATAATGTAAGCACCAGACTCTACTTCTCTTCAGTCTAGTTAATACCGAGACGGATTTCTACAAGATATGGGACAGTTAAACATAGGTTGTTGTGTTTAATAAAGAACTAATATTTTAAGATAAAAAGTAGATTTAGGTGATTTCAGATCCTTTCCTTCCCTTAAACTATTTCTTCGCATTTGTCAAAAATAACAACACAGCAATAAATTCTGGCTGTACTGAAAATTTTAGCTTTTGGTATCAATATTTTTATAACATTCTTTAACTTTTCAATTTCTTTATTTCACCTTGCTCTTATATACCTATAGCTTGTCCTCCTTGTAAAGCAGCATCCTTTCTTCCCCTCTTCTGACAGATTTGCATGTTACTTGTAGTCTATGCATCTCATGGTGGCAGAGCTGGTACCTCTAAGGTGGCGTAGATATCCTAAGTTCCAGGCACTTTTAGATTCGTCATGTGGATTTCACAAAGAAAATCTCAATTTAGTCTCACAGTACTACAGAGTACTGCTGTTTAATGTGAATTTTCCATGTCTTCTTTTAAATTAACTTTTGCAATAGTCAGCAAACAGTTAGTCACATACTAGAAAATACAGGACATAAATTTTATATGGATAAAGTGAAAATCAAAGATAAGAATCTTAAAAATGGCTTCAAGTTAACAATTGTTAATTGAAAGCCCAAAACATAAAAAATTACTTTTCACCTTGAAGACTTGGATATCTTGCGATAACCACAGTTATTCTGTAGATTAGACAGCAGAGAAAGTACAGTTAGAAAGTAGAAAGGCTTCCACAAACAGAATTAAATTAAAAAGGAAATAATAGCTTTCTGATGTTATTTTGGTACCAGCGAGAAAAAGCAAGCAAAAGACTAGATTAGAAGCTAGGAGAAAAACAAATGACAAAAAGTCTATAGTGACATAGATTGAAAAGGCAAAATGAGTTCAAAAGAGATCAGAGGTTATATTTTGACATAAAGCTTCTGGAAACTGAAAATAAAAGAGAGAACCTTCCCTCTTTTATAATAACTTTGCCTTAAGGTAACTAAATAGCTAATAGATTTTTTTTTATTATTATTATTATTTTTAAGCAGTATTGGAGGTCTTGTTAAACATGCAAGCAGAATATAAAGTGATAAATAAAGAATAACGAAAAAGCAAAGTTCAAGACAAGGTTATGTTGTCTTACACAGATCAAGTCTAAAAGATAGACAAGTCTTCATGATAAAGACCTTCTGACAGTCACACTGATTTAAAAGTTTCAGAGCATACAAAATGACAAAAATGATTAAACACCAAAAGGGAAAGTGGTTATAGAGCATTTGTTAAACAAGTGACAAATAGTCCCTTAGTCACCTCTTATGCTTTTGAAGAGATTACAGAACATACAAGTGACACCAACGCAGCTGAAGACTCAGAACACAATTTTCAGATGATCATAGCATTGTCAGCCTCCACATCTAGCACAAAAAACTGTGTTATCCTCAGTATCAGGGAAAAATCAAGAGCGATTTCCTTCTGCAACCTGTCAAGAAGCAAGTAGGTTTCCAGAACAGAAAACACCAAACAGATTTTAAATCATCAGTATCAAGTGAGTGCTTTCATTTTATAGACCTAAGGTGAAATGATAAGTACCTTTCATGAAAAATATTAGATTTTCAAAAATCTTTTGATAGCAGTCATGCTGTCAGAAAGTCCAGTGGTTTGTGATGGTAACTGGAGTAAGACAAGAATGTACAATATTCCTGTTATCGTTATTACAAAATTATCTATAGAAAACAACTAAGAAGTTTTGTGGACAAAAGATGCAATACACTTGGATGATTTTCATTTCACTTCCCAGGTGGAAGATATGAACCAGTTATTAGTAGACACAGCAAAACATTTTGGTCACTTTATTGGCAGGGAAGACAAAAAATATGGCTTGCAATTATTCCCAACCAATCCCAGAGCAGGCAGAGGAACATTAATAAATATTGATCATTTAACTTTCTTAGGAAATGGAATAGATGATGACTAAGCCAACCTTGAATTCATGCAATGAAAACCAAGGCAGGAAACGGCTTTTGTAAACTCGTAAAAGTTGGGGGGAGAGAGAAACAAGGGGGTGTGTTAAAAAAAATAATAGATCAAAATTGGCATTAAATAGAAATTTTTCCTTGTGCTGTTAAGCCTCTTCTTGCTTGGAGCAGAATCAGAGCTCCATAACAACGTTTTACAAAAGAGAGTAACTCATTTCAAAATCCTCATGGGAAACACTTGGAATCTACTAGACAGAAATACAGCATCGGGTATCATAGGCTGAGCACACAAGCATAAAATATTAAAGCCTAACAAGAGCAAGTGGCAGACGTGTTTAGCACATGTTCTGGAAATGCCACTGATATGATTCTGCTATCATGTGATAGATAACCTGAAGACTGAGTGAGTGCAAAAAGGAGAACAGGAAAGTAACACAACTAGAGCCAGATCTCTGGTTAATTGCCATAAAGAGAATGAGACCATGACATAAGAGAAACTGGTTCCCTGACTGGCCCAAAAGGTGCTGGAGTAGAAACAACTCCATCTGAAACAGCAAAACATCTCTAGGGAGGATGCAGACATACAAGGCACCAGGTAGCTCAGAGTTTGAATACAGTAACAAAATCAGCTAGCTCACCGCTGAATACCAATCTAGCCATGGTAGTGGGTCTAGGCTTCACTTCAGTGTTTCCAATTACTGAGCATCAGATAGAGCAGTTAAGCAGAACAAGGCTTCTTTGGTGATGTCTGACTCTGAATACCAAAAAGAAGAACAACCCAAAAGGAATAAAAATGGGCTGTCAGAGAAAGAATGATCTACTGCTTTCTGTTGTATTGAGAGGGCTGCTCCAGTCAAGGCTGGCACAGTATCACAGTCTTGCACAGATGAGAGAAACAGTGTATTTTACAATGATTCACTGGCACCAGCACAAGGGAGTTTTCATTAAAACAGAGTCTCTGAAGCAGTCAGAATTTGCAGTTAAGGACAGCAACCATTCTGCTTTGCAGAATCAATAAGCAGCATGTCATGTCAGAAATGTAACTTGGACCCAGTATGCTCATTGCCTCCTACAAATTATGGACCAAAACTACTTGCAGACAACCAAAACAGGTTATTGGACAGATCAGCTTTATATACAGATCTGATAATTTAGAAAAAGTTTTGCAACACTGAAGTGAGCCTTCACACAAATAGGGATATATAACCTTGTAAATGCTAAAACCAGCAACTAGTGCAGGCTCACTTACCTTCATGTTTTTTAAGACATGACACAGATTTGTCAGTTGTATGCGATCAGTATGCCTTTACAGGGGACTAAAAGATTTTCCATTCTGCTCAAAATTTTGTAAGGAGTTAACACAATTTGTAGTTCAGATTGTTGCTTGGCGTGCTTGGACACAAGTTCTCCATTCATTTTGAGGAACAGACCTAGTCAAGAGTTTGGACAGCACAAGGTTCTCCACCACATCTCACCAATATTCCTCACAGCCCAGCCCTGGCACGCAGAGAACATCTGGCAGGGGACAGCCCCTGTTGCAGATGTCTGGGACCTGTGTGTCCTGAGTGCCAGCAGGCACGCAACCACCATGCACTGCGCAAGGAGGAAGCTTGTCATATCCTATGAACAGCAGATAGGCTGCAACTTTTCCTAGATATTTGAGTTCTGTTTTCCCAAAGAAACTGCTGTGAAATATGCAGAATCTATCATAATCAAGTGCTAAGGCTTTTCAATACTCCCAATGACAGGAAAAAGAAATATGTGTAAACAATTGGAGCAACCAAGACACACATACAGGCCAATGCAAATATCATGCTTCCCCTCATCTACTTCTCCTATTAGCAACAGAAGTGACTTTTGTTATGAATTATCATGAAGCACAATATTAACAAACTAATGATTTCAGGAGTCAATAATTTACTGGAAAATGATTTTTTTTCCTGAAGTTCCTAAAACTTCTTGTGCAGTTATCCTTAGAGCTACATGAGAGGAAGCTTCTTTCATTACCAAAAATTGTAAGGATGTATCTTATCATCATTTTCATCCAGAGAAACCCCAAACCACCCAACAATTCTTATGAAAATCCAGACAAGCTTTCTATAAAATAATCCACAATCTAGGAGTCATAGCCTCACTGGGGATTTAAGATACTATAATTCAAATCCCAGCTCAGGCTATGTTGTAGAAGGAATATGAGTGGATATCCCATAACCTAGGTGAGTGAGTGCACTAATTACCAGGCTCTTTGATATTCTCAGGTGAACTGCTCTCAATTATTCTACTGGAGTAACCTCATCTTGTATAACTAATTACATATCCACAAGGCTAACAAGGCTGTTCCTCTAAGCCCACTGGTTATGGGACTCACCTTAAGTTGTGAAAGATCCAGATTCAATTAGTATTTTAATTACTTACATAAAACAGAACTATTTTCACAAGAGAGACTGAAATTGTAACACCCAAAAAAATGCCTCAAGGTTATGACATTCATAATAGAACATGGGTGGCAATTTCAAGCTTTCAACCTGAACTACATTCATAGGACTTAAATGTGTGACTGTGTGCGTGCTCTGCTAAGGTAGGCAATTCCATCTGGATGCCAGAAACATCCTGGGTTGAGAAGTGATAACTCTTGATGTAGAGCAGCTGGCCTAGACATAGCTATTAAGCATGATAATATGCATACACACACAGACACAGAGGTATATAGATGTGAACAATAACACTCCTATTGCATGCTAGAAAATAAAGAGTAAGAAAGATTATTTTCAAAGGAAACAACAGAACTCTCTTAACGGAGAGCCTAATAATTCTTACAGGCAACACAGGCCTTTGCAGTCGATATTTTGCCATTTCCAATACCTTTTCCATGACTCTAATAGTCTCAGAGAGAAAATGTAACAGAATTGCTTCTCTCAGAAGCACACAACCTTAGGAGTTTTCTGTGTTTTCTCCCTCTTCCCCCTTTTTAAACTGGTAGTCACATACTCTAATGATTGAAATCATAAATAACTAAATATGCTCAACAATGAAAACAACACATTTCTTCACAGTATGAAAACTTAGAGTTAGGAGGCAATACTAAAATTTTGTCAGTTATTAAGAGCTGGCTGCTACTTCACTTTTTCCTACACCCCTCAATAATGTAATGACTATTACAAATTTTAAAAGTATGTTAATTACCTGTAAACAACTAATACATTTTTAAAGGAACATTCAAAAAAAATACACAAGACCAACCCACTTTCCTTTTCCTGCAATAAACTCCTTTACAGTCTGCACTTCTAAAATGTAAAATGTTGCAGAAAAGTTTATGATTGTATATCAAATTGATAGAATGGTTATTTGATTAATATATTGCTGTAGAATCAGTCTAGCATTGGACATGATTCCAATTTGATCTGAATGTACTGAGTACTCAACACTAAATCAGGGCTTGGATTGCATAGAAGACCATTCTTCCTACAGAATTTTGGAATAAAAGTCTGGAACTTTTCTTCAGAATCTTGGTTTCTCACTTAGGGAACAGCAATGTAAACAAACTTAGGAAATAAGTATATGCACATACATATAACTATTAAGCATAAAAATTAAATGAATAAATGAACACAGTATATGGTACACTCAGCCTATAAAAGTCTGTTAAACTATGTGGTTATACACAACTTTTATATATATTTATATATAAATGCACAACCCATGCATGTTCACACACGCAGTGTTGTTCAAGCTAATTTTTCAAGCTACAACCAACTTATGCCTTACAGAAAAATTAATTGAGCAAAATTTTAGCCATGAAATTTTTAGAATACAAAACAGTTTCAATTTGCTCTTAATATTTTTGAATTTTTGCCCTAGGAAAATAACAACCAAATATTTTGTTTCAAGAAGTTTGTACTTCAACATAATGATATTCTTCTGAAGCATATTTAATTTTTAATGTCTTATACGAAGACTTGTGATGGTTTGGGGCTTTTGGGGACAAATGCAATCAAAGCTTTGGAACCGCTCCAGAGGACAGGAGTTGCATTTGGCAACCACTTCAGTAACATCTCGAAAGGGAATTACTCTGGACACCTTGAGCTCCACAGAACTGAACAAATCATCACAACATTTCAACCCAAAGCTTCTTAAAAATTTGCCACTCAATGGCATGTGTATCTACCTCTGTTCCTAAGGAATCTATAAATGGAAGTGGCATTGGTACTCATGACTCACATACGTTGGCAGTGCTGTGTGGGCAATTCAGCACAGCATGTTCTCACTCCAGGACTGATCTACCTGGCTGGGACCCGTTTTCACTTTCATTTATCTTCTCAATAAATTTAATATTTGCATCCTGCCTCTTAACTAAATGAGGACATAAAAGAAAGTAACATGGATCTGATTTTGACAGATTGTCAACATCTTATATTTATTGAAGCTCTGTAGACATAATAATGTTTCCCTGACTCCAAAGTCCATGAAGTTTTATGAAATATCTGGTGTGGTCATGTCTTTGCTGGATCCAATAGACATAACATCAATTCATAAAATGCTTTTCTAATTCTTTCAACAGCTCAAAGCTTTGCCCATTCTTCCAATGTTTTTCTAATATTATTTTAATAAATAAAAGTTATGTATCACACAATGTGTTGTATTTATTTTTTTTTTTTTTTTTTAATTTAGTATTT